TTTTGGACGTCTTGAACAAAGTTTTGTATTGTGATAAAATACATATATTTGTTGAACATTATAGTCTTCTAAAACCTATAGTTTTTTATATATGTTATAAAAAGTGAAAAAAATTAAATTTTGTTGAACAGTCATATTAAACGCTACGTATCTCAAAAACTAAGGAATATAGAGGATTTGTGTGTTGAGCAAAGATTTTTGTAGTAAAATTATCTACAACTTTGCTCAAGACACCACATACCTATCTTGTAAATGTAAAAAGTTAGATTTTGCAGCGCCGCCTGTGATGGAGTTCCGAACTAAAACCTATCACTAGTCTTTGCGCCTTATTTTATGCAAAAACTCTTTTAAAGACATCATAGTGAAAAAACCAACATTGAAGGTGTTGGCGCGCTCCTTGGCACCAAGGCGGTGAATTCTCCTCGTCAAGGCGGAAAACAAGCAGAATCGAGTCAGTTGGTCGACCAGTCCAGCGAATGCGGTTTCGAAAGCGGCAGAATAAAAGGAGGACAAGTTTTAACTTTTTATCTTTTATTCTCCTATATTAACCGTGTGCAATACAAAAATTAACTCAGCTCATTCACTTTTTTTTTTTTTTTTTTTTTTTACTTAAAATGATCTTTATTTCTTGTGTTTGTGTGGTTTACATTTATGAATTTTTTCAAGTGACACAGATGCGTCTTTTCAACTTTAGTTCATTTGAGATATTAATTATTATTTACAGTTACTAGTCCTATCAGGCCTATTTTAAAGTATGACCACCTTGGTGGGATTGGTTTGATTTGAATTGGAAAAAGGAGACTACTTATAACTACTATTTACAACTACAACTAACCTACAACTACTATATGCACCTAACCTACTATATACAAGTTGCTTATCAAAGCATGTTCTGATAAATTACATTTTTCTGCAAATTTAGTCTTAATTTCGTTAATTCTTGAATCTATTTTGGCAATTCCTGCCTCTTCGTGTAAATTTGTTATTCTAGTGTCGAAAGGACGATCAAGAACCATCCTCAGCACTCTATTTTGTGCGACCTGAATTTTGTTCCTGTGAGTCTGTGCACATGATTCCCACACCGGAGCTGCGTAGAGGATCGCAGGTGCTATGATTTGTTTGTAGACGGCCAGTTTGTTTACCCTTGAGAGGCGAGATCTGCGGCAAATCAGCGGATACAGACACCTAACCAAGGCAGAACACTTGACTACTGTTTTCTCTACATGCGAACGGAAGAGGAGCTTTTCATCAAACAACATCCCGAGATAGGTAACTTCGGCGGACCACTCAACCCTTGTGCCATCCATGATTACAGTACAAGATGGAGCCGGTTTCAGTTTGGGCGATTGCCGATGGAGGAACATGATCGCTTGTGTTTTGGAGGCATTGATTTTGATTTTCCACATGGTGGCATAATCAGCAAAGGCGTTAAGGCATCGTTGAAGTTTGTTCGTTATTTCGCGAGGCATCCTTCCTTTGACGGCTATTGCGGTATCATCTGCGAACAGGAAAAACACGCAACCGTCACCGAGGGGAGGAATGTCGGAAGTGTAAATGCTGTAAAGCAAGGGGCCCAGCAGACTGCCTTGCGGGACTCCTGCTGGGATGGAAAACGTGTCTGAAAGACAACCATTCAACGATACCTTAAACGACCTTTGCTGAAGGTAGTTTCGGGTGATTTTAACCAGATGTAATGGGAAGTTGAAGTTACAAAGCTTGTACACAAGTCCGTCATGCCAAACATTGTCAAACGCCTTTTCAACGTCTAACAAGGCCATGGCTGTGGACTTGGATACAGCTTTGTTACTTCGGATGTTATTCATCACCCGTACTAGCTGATGATTGGTAGAGTGCCCCTTTCTGAATCCAAACTGTTCCGGAAGGAGAATGTTGCTTTCCTCCACAAACTTGAGCAAACGATTGAGAATGAGTTTCTCGAACAATTTGCTCAGCGCTGAAAGGAGGCTGATTGGTCTGTAGCTTGAAGACAATGTTGGATCCTTACCGGGTTTGCGGATTGGTATGATTTTTGCTACTTTCCAGATGTTTGGAAAGTAGTGCAGTTCCAAACATCTGTTGAAGATAGCGGTTAGAAGAGACTGCACTTTCATGCTGAGTCTCTTCAAGATCAAGTTGAATATGCCGTCAAACCCGGGGGCCTTCATGTTCTTGGTGCATTTCAGCGCTGAGCAAATTTGTTGTACTGTAATCATATCCACCGGAGGCACGACACAAGGGGAGGCATCTAGGTTTTGAACGCATTGCGCAACCTGATCTTCGAGCGGACTTTGGATAGACGAGCCAAGCAAATGCGATGAAGCGACATGCTCGCCGATCGCATTTGCTTTCTCCTGTGGGGTGATTAAAAGCCGATCGTCATCATTTTCGACTCTGAGAGGTGGAACGGGTTTGGGATGAGTTTTCAGCACCTTGGCTACCTTCCAGAATGGACGGGAGCGGTCATCCAGATTCTGGACAACACGCCCGAAACTTTCATTTCGGAGTGAGTCCATTCTGGAAGCAATCTGCCTGTTCAGATCGGCCATTTCACGTTTCCTCGCTAGATCTCCAGTCCTCTGAAACTGGCGTCTACGCACATTTCTCAAGCGAATCAGTAATTGGGTGTGGGAATCAATGGAAACAAACTTACCCCTCACAGGAACTTGTCGAACACACGTCTCGTCAGCCACGGATATGGCCTGGTGGAGCCCTTCCAGTGCCCGGTCGATGTCCTCTACGGTGTCAAGTGGCGGATTTTCATCGATGTTTCTGTCGACCACATGCCCAAACTGCACCCAGTTGACATGATGGTAGTCTTTGCGCAGGCTTTGAGCAGGTTCCACGTGGGTGCCGACTTCAGCCACCACCGGTTGATGGTCGGAACTGAGATCGTTGATCGCCATCGGTTTGGATAGTCCAATGTTCGATAGAAAAAAGTCCAACGTGGAAGGGTTTCCCGCCGGAGAGATGAATGTCGGTTCATCAGGGAATTTCACTGTATACAGCCCATGCTGCGAGTGGTCGAAGAGCAGACGTCCGTTCTGATTCCGCTGATAGTTCCGCCATGCTTCGTGGCGGGCATTTAAATCGCCCCCAATGACGAACCGTGAGCTCGTGCGAGTGATGGTGGTCAGATCATGCTTGAATTGGATGCCTAATCCATTACTGGCAGCACACTGACGAGGGCAGTATACTGCGACGAACCGGACGTTTCCGGTTGGTGATTCCACCTCGACACTAAGGGCCTCGATGATAGAAGTGCGAATATGCGGCAGCGTGCAGAACTTGATTCCTTTCTTGATGATGATCGCAACACCACCCCCCCTGGAGTCAATACGATCAAGCCGGATAATGTGGTGATCAGGCAACCAAAAGCTGTCACCGGATTTAAGATGGGTCTCTGTTAGGAGGCCCACGTCGATACTATGCTTGCGGAGGAAGTCAGCAAGCTCGAGTCTTTTTGCTCTTACAGAGCATGCGTTCCATGTGACGACAGTTATCGGTTTAGACACCATACTGAATAATAAACTTACCGAGCACTTGGATCTGTTCGGGCTTGCTGCGGCACTGGCGAAGAGCGCTGGTCATGTCGACGAAAATCTTCATCAGCTCATCCGCAGAGAAGAGATCGGGATTGGCGTTTTGTGCTGGTGGTTGTCTCCAGAATCCAGGGGGGGATGGAGAGCTTTGTCCAGCTGAGGCACCAGACGTTTCTTGGCGGGGGCCGGATTGCACCCGTGGATTTGCTTGACCGTGTTGCGTAGCAGGAAGAGGCGGGAAATCCTCCAGTCTGAATGCCGGCGTATTTTCCTTCTTTCGTCCTGGTTGATTTCTTGTGGACGCCTGCTTTCGGATCCGTTTGAAATCTTCGCGTTTGGGGCACTGTTTGTCGGACCCTTGATGAGCGCCATTACAGTTGGCGCATTTGGCCGCTTCCGACTCGTCGACAACACACTCGGAGGAGATATGGTTTTGGGCGCATTTTCCACAGCGCGGCTTGACGAAGCAGTTTCGGGTGCCGTGCCCGAAATTCAGGCAACGTTGACACTGGGTGACGTCGTGACGGCCGCCACGGTATGGCTCCCATCGGACAATGATGGAATTGATGGAGCGGATAGCCTTCAACGCATTGAGCGTCACCGTTCCCTTCTGGAAATGCACCAGGAAAAGACAATCTGGATACCTTTTGACGTTCTCGTCCCTCCTTGTCATCCGGAAGACGGCAGTTGGGGCCAGCTTGTAGCGGTTCTTGATTTCCGCTTCAATCAGCTTCGGGTCAAAATTCGGTAGACCCCTGATGACGACCTTGAATGGTTTCTCGCCGGGAATGTCGTGGGTGAAAAATTCCACCTTGGTAGTCCTCAGGTGGGCAACGACCAAGTCATACTCCGCTTTCGTGCGGAGCATAACCTTGGTGCCGACTCTGCCCAACTTGAATTCGGCTTTAACGCCCAGCGAAGCCAGATCTGCGATGAGATCGTTAAGATGGGCATTTTTTACTACCAACGGAGGTAGCTTTACTTTTGCCGTGCTTGTGTCGGCAACGTCACCGAAATCTCCGACATCACTACCGTTTGTCGCAGTAGCATCGCCGCGAGAAATCGTGCAATCGGACTGGCTCCGATTCTTCTTCCTCTTCTTGCTGCGCTTTCCTTTTGCAGCTGGCTGGGTATGCTCATCGATGGGAAGAACAGCAAACCTATTCGATGTGGACACACCGGAGCTTCCTTCACCGGCGTCCTGGTCCTTCACCGGGCTTCGCGAGCGATGCTTCCCCATTTCGGGGCACACACACACGCGCGACAAATCACGTACGAAAGAGCGCGAACACTATCTCAAAAAATATCTTTCCGAACAACTCACGAGAGCGAGCTTAAACCGAACTAAACTGCTTGCCGTTCAAGCAGAGAATCCTATCCATGGAGCTCATTCACGAATGGGCTGCTTTATTTATACTTATTCACCGATCCGACAACGTACAATGGGAGGAGCGTTGCGCGCTATTCTACGGTTTCTTCTTGTAGGTTGCCTTTGTTGGTGTGCGTCGCTTCTACTGCTGCCGCTGCTTCTGTTGGTGTGCGTCGTTTGGTTTCATTTGGCAGTCTTTCCGGAGCGAACGGTTCGGTCGCGAACATATTCCCCCCAGGCTGGGAAGAATTCACTGAATCGATGTTTTGGTCGTCATTGTCAGCAATCGGAAGGACGGATAATTTGGATACCGCTCGTCTATAGATGGAACCTTCGACGTTGATGTCTACCGCTCGCACCAAATTGTCGGAACCTGGGTAAATCTGGACGACCTTTCCCATCTTCCAACATTGCGGTGGGATATCCTTCTGCTCAAGCAGCACGATCATACCAGGGCGAATGTTTGGTTGTCTTTGGCGGTTTTTCCCCCTCAGTTGCAGGTTCAACAAGTAGTCCCGGCTCCATTGTCTCCAGAACTGCTCACGGAGGTACTGTAGATACTGCCATCTTGACAGGCGATTGGTTGGTATCTCATTGTAGCTAGGCTCCGGCGTGGCTATCAGAGGACGGCCAATCAAAAAATGGCCAGGTGTCAAAATTTCGTCGTCTGGATCTGGTGTTGAACAGAGAGGCCGGGAATTCATTATAGCCTCCACTTGGCTAAGGACTGTAGCATACTCTTCAAAAGTCAATTTGGCGTTTTTTAGAGTCCTCTTCAGGTGATACTTAGCGGTCTTCACTGCGCTCTCCCAGAGGCCGCCAAAATTAGGAGCTTCCGGTGGGATAAATTTCCAGGAGATCTCTTTTGGCTGGCAGAAGGATGCTATCTCGTCAACGGCATTGCGGCTGCGAAAGAGGAGATATAGATCATGTAATTCGGATTTGGCTCCCTTAAAGTTGGAGCCATTATCTGAAAAGACCTCTCGGCAAATGCCCCGTCGGCTGACGAAGCGCTGAAGTGCAGCTAGGAACGCGGCGGTAGAGATGTCGGAAACTAATTCCAAATGGACAGCTTTCGTTGACATGCAGATAAACACCGCGATGTAGGCCTTGACAATTTTCGGTTTGTGACGACCTTCCTTGACAAATACTGGTCCGGCATAGTCAATGCCAGTTTTCAAAAACGGTTCAGCGGGTGTTACTCGGCAGGGCGGCAGATTTCCCATCAGTTGAATAGAACCTTTAGGCTTCGACCGGAAACATGTGATGCAGCTTCTGGTAATCTTCCTGACGGACGACCTTCCATCCAGCAACCAAAAACGTGATCGGAGAGCGGCCAATAGGGCAGTTGGACCAACATGCAGGTTCTCTTCGTGGTATGTACGGATGATTTGATCGGTGATCGGATGTTTAGGAAGTAATAGTGGATGCTTGGTTTCAAAAGGTAGCAGGGAATGTTGAAGCCTTCCTCCAACGCGCAGCACTCCATCGTTGTAAATCGGATTCAGAGCAGCAATTTTCTTACACGGTTCGTTGGATGTCACACGATGAATTTCGTCACCCAGAGATTCAAGCTGAATGACCCTTACAATCAGCTGTAAAGCCGAGCGTAGTTCTTGGATTGTAGGATGACGTTGGAGGACTCGTTCGTTGCGAGATTTCAGTCGACAGTTACGGATAAATCGCTGGACCAACGCGATTACCCGTTGAAGCTTTCTGAACGAGCTGAACCTAGAAAATACTTCCATCTTCTCCTCGTTAACGACTGGAATGGCGGTTACATTTACCTTTTTCAACTCCGGAAGATCTTCATCTGCGATGTCATCGGGAAGTTCCGACTGGTACTGGGCGGTGCTTAGAAATGTCGGCCCATTCCACCAAAGTTCATTGGTGCTCAGGGCGTGTGGAAATTGACCTCTGGATACTAAATCTGCTGGGTTTTGTTTCGATTTGATGTACTTCCACGTGTAGCCTTCGGTGCTCTTCAAAATCTCTGCTACGCGGTTGCGCACAAACACTTCAAGGGATGATAACGGCTTCCGCAACCAGGCAAGTACCACCTGACTGTCGCACCACAGAACAACTTGCGATACATCTAGTTGAAGGGAGTCCAGCACTTTTACGAGCAGCCGGGCGAGTAGCCGGGCACCGAGTAATTCTTTGCGTGGAATGCTCAATTCAGCTATCGGGGTGACCTTGGACTTGCTGCACAGCATGTTGAGTCGAGCCATACCATTCGGTAGGATACAGCGAATATAAATGACCGCTCCGTAAGCAGCCGCCGAGGCGTCGGAGAAGCCATGGATTTCGATGGTGGTGGCATCAGAAGAAATGGTGCATCGAGGAATCTTGATTTCGCTTACCAGGAGTAGGGCTTCACGGAATTGTTTCCAGGATTGTAGAAGTTCTCCTTCCAACGGAGTATCCCACGGGAGACCGGATCTCCAAATCTTCTGCATGATCATTTTGGCGATAATGGTTACCGGCGTCACAAGACCCAGTGGATCGAACAGTCTGCCAATTTCAGATAACACCGTTCGCTTCGTAGGATGGCTTGCTTCTCGATCGGTTTGATTGGTGCTGAACACAAATTCATCTCGTTGTGGGCTCCAGATCAATCCCAATGTCTTCATAACGTCGATTGAGGTGTTGTCCAGACGTACTAATTTCTCACGGTCGGCTTCTGGAACGTTTTCCAGAACTTCTGTTGTGTTAGAACTCCATTTGTGGACCGGGAATCCACCTCGTTCAAGTAGCTGTTGAATTTGGGTTTGACTTGCGATGGCTTCCTCTACGGTGTTCGCACCTGAGATGACATCATCGACGTAACAATCTAGGCGGATGATTCGTGCAGCGAGTGGAAATGAGTCGCCTTCATCGTCACAGAGCTGTATCAAACATCTGGTCGCCAAGAATGGGGCTGCAGCTGTCCCGTAAGTAACGGTTGTGAGTTCCAGGACACGGAGGGGTTCTTCCGGGCTTGACCGCCAGAAAATTCGTTGGAAACACGCGTGAAGTAGTGCCATGCGTATCTGTCGAAACATTTTTGAAACGTCAGCAGTGAATACTATCCTATATTTCCGAAAACGTAACAGGATACTGAAGATGTCGCTTTGCAGTGTTGCTCCAACTAGAAGAACGTCGTTCAATGACTTCTCGGACCGGGATGCCTTGGCAGAGGCGTCGAAAACAACTCGAATTTTAGTTGTCGAACTCGATGGACGTAGGATGGCTTGATGCGGGAGATAATACACTCGTTGATTGGGAATATCATCGGCTTCGTTCACCTCTTGACAATGCCCCAATGCTTCATACTCATCGATGAATCGACAATACTGTTGCTTTAGCTCCGGATTTTTCTTGAATCTTCGCTCTAACGAAAGGAACCGATGCATGGCCAAGTTTCGGTTGTCTCCTAGCTCGTGCACCGATTCGCGGAATGGCAAACTCACCTCATATCTGCCGGTCTCATCTCGACGATGGGTAGACTGGAATACTTTTTCGCACTCATCTTGCTCGCTGGGTTGTGTTACTGACTCAGAGATCTCTTCCAGCTCCCAGAATTGGCGAAGGACTTCAGAAATAGGATCCGTCAGGGCAGCTAGACACTGCTGGGAGGTTGACACGTCGTCGATGTCTCCTGCAACTACCCATCCTAAATGGGTTTCTTGTAGTTCAGGTAACTTATCACTCAGTTGAATACGGCCCGTCTTTAGCAATTGCAAAAAATGGGAGATACCGATTAGCATATCGATATCGGAAGGAGTGTGGAAGTTGGGGTCTGCCATAAGTAGATCGGTGTCGATTGGCCACGCCGAAACGTTGATTTTCGTTGCTGGAATCGCTCCCGTTATCTCAGGAACTACGAGGCATTCGATAGTAGCACAGAAATCGGAATGCCTGGACTCCACTTTCACCATCATCTTCTCCTTGGCGTAGGTTTTGGACCCACCTATTCCAGCGATGGGTACATGTGCAGGTCGTCTTTCGGTGGCCAAGCGGTCAGCCATTGCCTTGGATAGGAAGTTGACTTGCGAGCCGCTATCCAACAGAACACGGCAGGGAGTTGTCCATCCACGAGAATCCTTGATTTGCACCACAGCGGTCATGAGCATAACGGTTTTGGCAGCTTTAGAATGGTTACACGACGCAACAGTTTCGGTGACTCGTTGAGACTCCGAGTGGTTCTCGGAAGAGGTTTGGCAAGCTGGTTCTTCATTTTGGATGGTTGGTGCTACCTCCACTGTATTCGAATCTGCTTCTTCATGCAACAGAGTGTGGTGTCTTCTCTGGCAGCGAGAGCACGTCTTTTTGGATGAACAATCAATGGCTCGATGACCAGGGCGAAGGCAGTTGAAACAGATTCTCAACTCCTTCACTTTTTCACTCCGTTGAGCCAGTGACATTTGATGGAACTTCGGGCATTCGAAATGGCGATGGTAGCCACTACATACCTGGCAGGAACTGCTGGAGGTCACAGTCGTTGCAGCGTGGGCTTTCTGGTTAGTTGGTTTCGAACCCTGTTGTTGCCTTGGAAATGGCTCTTTTGCCGTCATCTGGTGCCGGTTTTGGAACCTTTCCAACACCTGGCATTCGCTTCGAAGAAAGGCCACAGTTTCTTGGTACTGGGGCAGCTTGGCATGCTGCTGTGTCCTCTCCCATAACTGGAGTGTTTGATCGTCCAATCGTGAAGTGAGGATCTTCGTGAGGATTAGACCAGATAGTTCATCAACTTCCAGTCCCTGGTACTCGAGACCGCCAACATGACGGATGAATGTCTTCACTAGCTCGAGTAAATCTTTATGGTTGCGGGTGGTCATCGGTTTCATCTCGAGCAAACCTTCGAGATGCGTATCGACGATTACTCGTGGGTTTTCGTACTGGTCACTGAGCTGTTGCCAGGTTTGCTTGAAGTTGTTGTCAACGATCATTTTTGCCGTAATCCAACCGGAGGCATCACCCGTTAGCGCCTTATCGAGATGATGCAGCTTAACTGCATCCGAATCGGCGCTCCGTCCGACAATATCCTCAAACATCATCCGAAATTTCGGCCAATTCTCTACCTTCCCGTCGAATGTGGGAACTGGAGCTCGCAGTGATTGCTGCTGGATGATCACGGATTGATTTACACCTCTAGCACCGGGAGGGGAAATGGTTTCGGTGAGCAGTTCAAGCAAGGCAAGCGTGTTGGTATGGAGAGCGTCGAAAATATCCAAAGCATCATCTTCCAGTTCAATCTCATTGGAGGGTGTGGAAGCAACTATTGATTGGTGAATTGAAATGAACTCGTTGTAATGAAGTTCAAGCTTTTTCGAAAACACTTTCAAGAGCGATGCACAAATTTTACTTGGAGTATCCTCAGCTTCTTCAAGTGTGCGACTTATCGTTGTCACCTTTGCCTGAATTTGGCGACGCTGGTGAACTAATGCTGCCTTGGCATCATCTTCTGCCTCCTGCTTGGTAGACTTTCTCGTTTTCGGCATTTTGATCCACTTTTTCCACACTAGAATTCAATGTCGACACGACACTGGTTGGTTATCCGGTTCGGTAGGACCATATATTGGCGCGCTCCTTGGCACCAAGGCGGTGAATTCTCCTCGTCAAGGCGGAAAACAAGCAGAATCGAGTCAGTTGGTCGACCAGTCCAGCGAATGCGGTTTCGAAAGCGGCAGAATAAAAGGAGGACAAGTTTTAACTTTTTATCTTTTATTCTCCTATATTAACCGTGTGCAATACAAAAATTAACTCAGCTCATTCACGAATGGGCTGCTTTATTTATACTTATTCACCGATCCGACAACGTACAATGGGAGGAGCGTTGCGCGCTATTCTACGGTTTCTTCTTGTAGGTTGCCTTTGTTGGTGTGCGTCGCTTCTACTGCTGCCGCTGCTTCTGTTGGTGTGCGTCGTTTGGTTTCATTTGGCAGTCTTTCCGGAGCGAACGGTTCGGTCGCGAACAGAAGGCGCAAATAAAAAAGTTCGTGATATTGAGCATTCAAACCACTGTGCACCGGCGGAATATGGCTGTATAATATAGTTAGCCAACATACAGTTTATAAAATTATTTTATAAGGCTTCCAACGACCACATTACAGAATCTGTAATTTATTATCTGCTTATTTTTTCGTTGGGTAGTTGCTAGTTAAGTGGCCGCTCCAAGAACCTGCCGTGAAGAATTCTGTAATCCTATTATTTTCGTGCATAAAACTGAAGATTGAACACCTCATTGGATATCCATTTCAACCCATTATAATCTTACAACGGAACTCACCACAGCTGACCAATCGAATGTGCAACGATTGCATAATGCAATCGTATCTTTTATGGCCGGGGTTTTATTGATCACTCCAGCGGCTATCTCCGTGAATTAACACTGCGATAACCCTGATTGCATTTGATTCGATTTGAGTGGCAAAACGCCGCCGGCATACATCCACATTTCAGCTTAGTTACTTGATTATCTATACCGAGCCGAAATGAACAGGTACCCACCTGGAAGGTAAGTGGCGAAGCATTAGTAGGAGGATGTAATCTCATTTTATCGCTCACTTTAGACCGGAAACGCACTACGGCAAGTCTTTGTCTGTGAGTATGTCGGGATGGGCCACAAACTAACAACAAGGCGACCGGCAAATGATGATGTGAAAGTGGACTAACTACATCCCGTTCGCCACGTCCTCTAGTAAGCCGCAAGTGAAACAAAGCTATCTAATTAAAAACTTTTGTCATTTAATTATCACACGGCTTCCTGACTAGCTGTGCACGTGGCTCGACTAAGAGTTTCAAGAGTTTCTCTCTCCCACGCTTCCTTGCAGGGCTTTAACGCACATTCTGGGTTTATTAGTATTGAGCACTAATGGGTCAAAAGAAGAAAGTTTTGTACGTGTAGACGTCGTTATCCGATTATGGACGGACATAAGGTTAAATGCACTCCTCAATTGCGCAGCACGTTCATAACCAAGGCCATCAGAAGCAATTTAACTGAAAGCAGCAGCTGATGTTTCAGAGATTTATATGCTTAAGGAATCAGGAATTCTACCCCCAGAGCAAAAGATTTTTCCGCAAGACAATCATATTTCCTTATTGAAAGAGATCACTCTCTCCGCACGATGCCAGCCACCCATGACCTACCTGACTCCGTTCGGGAAAGCGAGATTTGGTATTCAAGCACCGTTTTCCTGCTCTGCACATCCACGTGCATTCAGGAGCTTGATTTTGTTCGTTTTACCTACACTACTACAGTGCACTAGCCTTACGTTTTGAGTATGATTTATGCTCACATTCCACACATTAGCCTTGCCTTGCCTTGCTTTGCTCCCCAACGAAGGGGAACACCCGGAGTCAGCTTGTTTACTTTCGGAAAGAATTATTGAATATACGAATTCTGCATTTTCAGCGATTCCTTGCACTGCTGCTCCGCTTCTTTGCAGTTTGAAGCAACTTGCAGCAAGGATAAAAGTGCATTATTCCTCCGCTGCTGTCAGGATGTTTGTCTGTGCGGCGTAAACGCTATTGCTGCTCACAGACAGGTGGATGAGATGGTGCCAGGGCTTCAGTATGGAAACGAGTTGTATTTATTGAGCGGCTGGAGATTAAAGATATTGGCGTTTGTGAAGGGATTAAGAAGCGGCGGAAGTATTATGTGCCTCAGATTTTTGGCGTTCTTCTCGAGTAGGGCATGGAAACCACAAGTACCGTCGGTGGGCCAATTTAGGGAGTGACACAAATAATACAATCCAACGCTATTGGGACTACTGATAGTGCACCCCGGGCAAAACGACCGCTGGGGTTTTTCATTGCTATTTTACTCTTAATTCTCGGATTTCTCGCATCACTTTTCAAATGGTCCTAAGTAACAAATGTAAACAAATCGAGTTAAGCAATACAAACTATTTCTCTTCTATCATTGTGAGTTGTTAGTCAAGTTGTTGAATGGCAATCAGAAAATTGGAGTTTCGTCAGTTTATAGAAAAATAAAACAGATGAAACCATTTCATTATCAGCAATGTTATCAGCAAAAGTGCAAAGCTAAAATTATACATCTTAACTTGACGTTCGGATGAGCTTTTTACCCGGAGGTTGGCGTGGTTTCTGAAAAAGAAAAGGAGAGAGGAGAGTGTTAATAAACATACAGTGACTCTTTTTTTTTTTTTTTTCATCTCTCAGTGCCATACCCCAATCGCTGGAATCGGATTCTTCCTGATTGTAGATTTCAAGTAACTTTTTGTGAAATGCCTCCTTGTTCATCGCTAGTTCCTTCCATTGCTCGTATGTAAGATCGCCGTAGCGTTGTATTGTTTGATGTTTTTTTTTTTTTTTTTTTCTTTATTTTTGTGATTTTTAGCCGTAGGCTAGTTCATCACATAAAAATATTGTTTGATGGATACTGTCCCACCAAGTAAAACTAGGTCTGCAGCGACGCAAATGTTGTGCTCTCAGACGAGCTGCACAGCGTAGTGGATGAGATGAGGGTCGTCTCCGTACATGGCCCCACCACCGCATCTGGTACATGCGTACCTTCTTGGTGATCCGCCGTTTCTGCAGCAATTGATTTACAGACCGTGGAAGTTCAGATCCATCCGAACTGCTACATAGAACGGACATCCCTTTCACGATTTGTTGTTCGTATCCCCGTATCGATTTTCGACTGTACAGGGTGCGTGACGAATTTTTGCAGTAAATGGCATATTTGAGAAAAAATACACCAGTTATTTATTTTAGCAATGAATTTTGTGCGATTTATTTTCTTTCGCAACATATGGAAGTTGTAAGTAAATTTATTCAAAAAAATTGCCTTCCCTTTCGACGACTGTAGTTAGACGCTTCCGGAAACTGCAGTATGCACGTTTTAAAATGTTTCGATCCATAGATGTCATCACTGCCTTGATTTTAGCTTTTAGCGACTTAAGTGTGGTGTGAGGGGTTCTATTGGTATCCCGTTGGACGACGCCCTATACAAAATAATCCAACGGATTGATATCGGGACTGCTTGGGGGCCAAATTTCTTCCTCCCAAATTTACGAAATATTTTCCGTAAGCCATTTCTGTGCTTTATTAGCAGTATGAGCAGGTGCTCCGTCTTATCATTTTCCCAAGCCTTTTTTAATATTATACACTGTTCTTTCAGACACATTTACCGACCGAATTATTTCTTTCATGCATACTTCGGCGCGCAACAAAGCGACAACGGCTGACAGATTGCTCTCTTGTTTCGACATCTTTACGTTTACTCAACATTGTTTGTTTAAATCTTACACCTAACAGTATAAGCTATCCAGTGCTGCCAAATATATCTAAATCATGATGCACAAGCATGAGAAATTACTATTTGAAATTTACTGCAAAAATTCGTCACGCACCCTGTATTTCGTTAGTACGGCAACCTGTGTGCCGTACAGCATAACAGCTGCTATAACAGTTTCATAGATGATTCGCCCAATTCTCCAGTCTGGTTGATACTTTTTAAGAAATTGCATAACGGCTTAAGAGATACGAACTGCATTTCGGCATCTCGTGCGCGTAGTCATTGGCCTTTCTAATCTGGAGGTTAAGTATACCCCCAAGTATCGCAGAGGTTCTGTCGTCTTGTACGTTGCCCCGTTGATGACGATTTCCGAAAAAGCCTCGCCATTTGGCTCTCGTATAAGTGCCTTACACTTTTTCTCATTCAGGTTGAGTCCGACGTAGGATAGGTATTCTTGCAGCCTCGAATAAATTTTCTCAACATCCTCCTTCGATTCCGCAATGATTATTAGATCGTCCACAAACGCTAAAATCATGGGAAGCGTAAAACACTCCGACTGATTCAGTTTCAGATTCTCTATTTCATCCTCAACTGACTCGAGTTCAGATTCCATCAGCAAGTTAAAGATAAATGGTGATAAGGGACAACCTTGCTTGATGCCCCTTCTGCGGTGGAAAGGTCGCGACAGCTGCCCTCCCCACAACACTTGCTGCTGTTCATCTCTAAGACATTCCATAATCCGATTTATAAAGAGGTCCGAAACACCCTTGCCTTGAAAGGGAGAAGAAAAGGAGAGGAAACCAGCGGTTAAATCAGATTTAGCATACGTCATTCACATCAATAAAACATACCTCTTAAAATGGCAGGTAGTGCATCAAAAGACACTTGATCGAACGCCTTTTCAATGTCAAGGGACATCAATAGAAGAGGTCTCCCACCATTCCATCGTTCCTGCAGAATCCTCTGCAACACATGTAAGTGATCAGTTGTTGACCGTTCCGGAAGAAATGCAGCTTGGTGAAGTCCTATTGACTCAATTGATCCTTGAAGTTTCTGTAGAATCCAAGACGCATACACCTTATATGCTGTGCAGCTTAGGCTAATACGCCTATACTCATCCACCGATTTAGCGTTCCTAACCTTCGGTATTGGAACTACCAGAACTCTCTTTCACTCCTCGGGCAACTTGTTTTCGTTCCAAACTCTCACTAGAAGGCTGTGGAGCTCTTGATTCGTTCG